AAGATCACAAGAACAAGTCAACACATCAAACAGTAAACCAAAAGCAGTTCAGAGGAAAATGGAAAATCCCTGTTTAGCTTTTTGTCAGAGAAAAAATGTCCTTAGATGTTAAAGTCATGCCAGAGACACACCGTGTCCTGGCAGCATATCAGGCCACAACCATTAGAAATGCTTTAATGACCCACTGAATACTTGAGCAGGAGTTTCTTAAAAGTAATCAAGTCAAACTGTGTGTAGTACTTGTAGTAAATAGCGCACACCTTCTTCCCCACACTTTTCAAGTGTAGAGTTGGTTTCACATGCAGACACATCTAGATCATGGTGTTGTATTTTAGTGATTTCCGTTATTATTTTCCCTGGCCAGTATAACACAAGATGCATGCTTATTGAATGTGCAATAGTGTGCAAAATTGTGTTTGCTATCATCTGTAAAGTCAGGATGTTAGTCTCTAATGCATAAACACAGTGTGCTCTTATTTGGAGGTGAGGCAAAATATGCATACAAAGCAAAATGGAAAAGTGTGCTCATCCCTCTTCCAGTTGTATTTTCCTTAATAAGCATGTCTACGTTTTAGACTTTGTACCTTTAAATATTAAAATGTATGAGATGATGATTATGAGGCGTCTTATTAGTCGAATTACTCATGATGCAGATGAAGATTTTCTCACACTTTTGTGCTGTTAAATGCTGTAAAGTCAGGAATACTTGAAGACCAGAATCTACAGCCCCAATGTGAAATCAGTGTTGCTCTATGATACAGAATATTGGAAGATGACAAAAGCTGCCATCAATAAGATGCAGAACTTCATCAACAGCTGCCCAAGCAAAATTTTGGAGACCTTTTGGCCAAAGATCTGTAATCACGACCTGTGGGGGAAAAGCAAAGCAAGTACCTATAAAGGTAGAAGATGCATTAGACATACACTGAGGAAACCGGGCAACAACATCACCAGATAACCCTGACATGGAGCCCACAAGTGAGGAGAAGAAAAAGAGGTAGGTTAAAGAAAACATGGTGAAGGGACCTCTGAAAGGATATCGAACAGGATACTTGGCACCAGATTGAGAAAATTGCTCCAGGCTGAGTGTGGGACAGGCAGTATTTGAACAGGAAGTAAAACTTCAAATCAATTTCAGTTTTTCAGACAGTGCTGTGGATGTTTAGACCAACCCTATGGCGACACTGAAAGTGCAATGTATGTTTAGTGTGTGTGCAGAGCAGGTGAGCAAAGCAGAATGTGTCTTACTAATGAGCTGCAGACAAACAAACATGCTTAACTTGTCTTTTGGCCCCACCACAGCATCATGAAACTTTTAGTTTTCATTTATTTAGCATCTACAAACTACATTACTAAGAAATCGCAAGCTGCAACTGGTAAACATGTAAGTGTTCAATGTTTGTGAACACATCATGGAGGGAGGGGCTGGAGCCTATCCCAGCTACTATAGGTCCAGAGACAGGGTCCACCCCGGACTGGTCACCAGTCTGTTTTAGGGTTAACACAAAGAGACAAACCAATACACAAACTGCGATCAAGTAAAATTACCAAATGAATGTGATACAAATTTTTACCCAAATGCAAGTGATTAATTCAAAGCTTTACAATCACTGCCTGAATGCCCTCACAGCAGTTACATAATAGAAGCTCTAAAGCAAAAGTGAGGTACCCGCCATACCTGCTGCTGTCAGGTTCACTTAGTTTGACTTCTGTTTCCAATCAGTAGAGATGTCAACAACGTGCTATACTTACCGTTTGTCACAGTGAATGATGAGATTTGCTTCATTTGTTTCATTAATCCTGACAAGGAGACGGTAACCTGTGCAGCCTCAGGGCCATATCCTCAGAGCACAGCTCTCTCTGGAGACTTCTCCAACACCATGTGGTCTCCATAGTGAACAAAATGAAAGAAATTATATTTGACCCTAAAGGTATATGGGTACATGGCCCAGTGATGTTTAAGGCTGTACAACAGAGCAGGTTAGCTCATATAGGTATTTGGGCATCTATATAGATACATGTTTTAAATGGGAAGTTTATGTTGATTTTTATGTTAGAAATGAACAAACAGACTTCATTTTCAATGCAGCACTGAAAGGTTTGCTATATGGGATGGCAGTCTGGCTTGACTCACTTGCAGTAAAAACAAAATCTAACATATATCAGTCTCTCCAGTCAAAATATGAGATAAATGTGATTCATCACATTTATAAAATTGTCAGTGATCCATCCCATATATTTTTCCAGAGTATGAGCTACTATCCTCAGGGAAATACAGGGAGGTATAGACCAGGGGTCTCAAACTTAAATGAGCTGTGGGCCACTGCTGGCACTGTCATCTCATTGGGGGGCCTCTTTAGTGTTTAAGTAGTATAAAAAACAAACAAATAAACAAGAAAACACCCTCAAATATTTCCAAAAATGCAGTGTTTTGTTTTTTTAAATTTCAATTTACCCCGGGGCAGACCCAGGACACGCTGGAGAGATTATATCTCTCGGCTGGCCTGACACCTTGGTGTTCCCCCGGATAAGCTGGAGGAGGTGGCTGGGGAGAGGGAGGTCTGGGCTTCTCTGCTTAGGCTGCTGCCCCCGCGACCCGGCCCCGGATAAAGCGGAAGAAGATGGATAAATTTCAATTATTGTGTAAAGACAAAACTGCAAACATGAACGCAGTTTTTTTTTTTCTCACTCTTAACTGAAGCCTTTCATTGAACTACCGAATAAACAAGTTGTTACTCTCTTTCTGGCTGCTATGATTTTGTGGCAGCACTTCTGCTATGATTTTGTTCATATTTGACAAAACAAAAATGCAGACATAAGTGTACACATTAGTTTTTGACTGCTAGTGAAAATTGTTTTCACAAACAACTCTCTCACTGAACTAACACAGCCAATCCCTCAACATGTTTGTACTCTCTGCTCATATTAAATCATTTTTTGCTTTTTAAAGAACTTATTTTAACACTGCACGCAACAACAAACAAATCCTCCATAACTGAAAAAGTAACTTCAAGGGCCAAATCACATTATATTTCCTCACGTCAATATACGGGCTGCAAGTAGGGGTGAGGTGGGCTGCTAGTGGCCCCTGGACCACGAGTTTGAGACCCCTGGTTTAGAGGAAGCAGCTCCAAAACTAGCTGCTATAAACTCTTATTCCCTCTAATTTCTTACATATAAAAATAAGGATTTAGTGCCACATCAACATGTACTTTAATGAATCATAGAAAACAAATGTGTAATAACCAATTAATTAACTTGTCTAAATCTCATGATGCATTTTTTTCAGTAATGTTAAAGAGCAAAACAAAACACAAGAAAATGAGGTCACTACTTTCCATCAATAGACTAAATTTTTAAGGGAATAATTATTCAGACAATGAAATGGTCATAATCTCGGGGAAGAGCCGTCTTTTGCTTTCTCTGATCTGTTTCTCAAGATTTTTTCTTCAGTTTCTGTCTCCTACATTTGTCCCTGTCAGGTTACAGCTGAATTATTATAAAATGATACACTTTAAATTAAAATTGTATTTTATTCAGTGATGATGACAGAATTGACCGGGATGAAATTACTTTTCCCTCCTTCCTGATTCATGTAAATCATGGCCTAATCAGCTGTTTTGAAACAGGAAACGATGCTTTATTCGTTAATGTAAAACTCACAAACATGACATAAGGATTCAGTGGGAAAGCATAAACGATAACAAAAAGAGTGCAAAGTTTATTTTTGATTTTATAACTATTGATACATTTTCATTAATGCTTGTAACAAAAATAAACAACAAAAAAACTACAGTAGTCAGGAAAATTTGACTGAATCACCTAAAAATCATCACAGTGATTGCTGCTCTGCAAGGAAGGCACAGAACATTAGTTAAGAACTTCACAAACAAAGAAAAATGATACAAATACAGCAATGAGAACATGATTCTTCACCCCCCC